TCAATCCCCAATACCTCCATTATAAATAAACAAATAAATAAACCTAATTGCCTCCCCCCCAAAATAGTACACAGACGCCCTAAAGAACAGGTAGACGTGGAGAGAATGATACAACACTTATTGACTACCTCCTGTGTGCCAGACAGGAGGTGATATGTGATACGTATTATTTCTTTAAATCTTCAAAATAACCCTGGAGAAAGGCTGTTTTTACCTTCTGATAGATGAGAAACTGAACACAGGGAGGCCAAGTCTCTTCCCCGAAGTCACGCCACCCGTGCCCAGCCGGGCTGGAATTTGGACCCAAGCAGGCTGGCCCTGGAGCCCATGGGTCCCGGCCCCCTCTTCCCAAACTCCCTTGTCATCCAGGGAAGGGGTGGGGCTTGCATGGGGCGGGGCGGGCAGGGAAGATCCTTTGGTTCTCTTGGGCCACAGTTGCCCCCAGGCTGAGGGGGAGGGGCTGCAGCAGGTGTCAAGAGCCTCAAAGAACACCTCAAGGATTTAGGCTTGAAAATGAGCAGCAGATAGGATTCTCCAACCACATGCATAGTTGGGCACGTGCTCCCGAAAGTGAGGTCTGTGGACCAGCAACTTCAGCTTCACCTGGAGTTTGTTAAGAATGCAGAATCTCAGGCCCCACTGGGACCTGCTGAGTCAGAATCTACACTGAACTAGGTTAAAGTTTGGGAAGCCCTGGTCTGTGATCCTATTCCATTGGGATGTTGGGAAGTAAGCTCACCCTTGGGCATTCTGGGGGCCCCCTCCTCTCCAGAACTTGTTCAGTTCCCAAGTCTTCGAGAGTCCCAGGATGTCTGAGGTGGTTTGCAGGAATCCGTCTACACTGCTTTCCCTGTCGCTCCAAGTAAACACTGCAGGCCTTGCCTCAGCCTGTGAAGCGCGAGGGCTGAGCCCTGCTTCCTCTCCAGTGTGTCTCCCCCACCCCCTCACTCCCTCTGCTCTTGCCTCGGGCTGCCCGATGTCCTTGACCATGCCACCCCAGGGACTTTGCACTGGCTGTTCCTTTCATTCTGTGGCTCTCCCTCTCACATCCTTCTGGAAACTCCATTCCCTGAGCAAGACCCTCACTGCCACCCTGCATAGAACAGCAGCCCCCTCCTGCCCCCTGGCCCCAGCCACCATTAATGTGCATCCCTCTACCTGCTTCCTTTCTCTCAGCAGTTGTCACCACCTACGTGGCATGCCGTGTATGTCATAACCCATGCGGTCACTTTTCCACCTCTCCCACTGGAATGTGAATGCCTCCAGCAGCCAGCACGGCCCCTGGCCCATAGTAGGTACTCAAGAAATATCTGTTGACTAAACGCAGGCAGCGCACACTGTCCTACCCCAAGGGGCCCCACTGGCTGAGTAGTGCCATGGGGTAGCAGGGCCTGTGGGGAGGCCAGAGGCCTGAGAACCTAGGTCTGGCTTCCTGGGGCTAACATGAAGCCTGCCCCAGGCCTTGCCCATCCCCATCCCACT